TGCTATATACAGCACCCATGAAACTGAAGTACTGATGTCACTCATAAAAAGTTGAATCATTCTCAGGTTGTTCACAATAGGCACATTAATAATGGCATAAACTTTACATAGTTCAGATTTCCTGACATGTTTAATAATCATCCCAGCCAAATTTGGAACATCCAATAGTCCAATAGAGGATTCATAGGATTAAGTATGACCCTTGTCCAGACAGGATCCTCATGGTCTGCTCTCATGACGTTCCAACTACTTTTTGTTTGTTTGTTTGTTATCTAACGCCGCACTCAGCAATGTTCCAGCTACATGACGGCGGTCTGTAAATAATCCAGTCTGGACCAGACAATCCAGTGATTGACATCATGAACATCGATCCACACAATTGGGATCGATGACATGCATCAACCAAGTCAGCGAACCTGACCACCCGATCCCGTTAGTCGCCTTTTACGACAAGCATAGTCACATTTTAAGGCAAGCATGGGTTGCTGACTAGTATATGACTGTGGTCTGTAAATAATGGAGTCTGGACCAGCCAAGACAATCCAGAGATTGATATAATGAGCATCAATCCAAACCGGGATTCGAACCCACAATCATAGGTTTCTGGCGTGCCCAAGGGACGCAACTCTGCACAGCAAATCGCTGCGCCTTAGACTGGGCCACCCGTGCCCCGCATATGTAACCGAGGACCAATATTCCTACCCAGACTCCCCAGGGTACTGGTTATATCTTAGATGATAAACGTCATCCCCAAGAATCCCTTCCAGGAGCTTGATACAAAGTTTTGTGACTGGGCTATTACACGCATCCTTGAATAAAAAATGAATAAATAAATGTATACAGAAATGAAGTCATTTATTGTAACCATGGTAACAGATCAATTTCAAACATCACTGAGATTTCTCACTCCCGTTTAGAAATGTTTGAAGCAATTTAGCCAGTTTCTATCTAACAGCAAACCACTCAGTCTAGCTATATGACTCAATACTTACAATACCACTTCAAATTTCACTCAAAACAGGTAACAACATTTACTGTAACAAATGAAAGGAATTTGTTATCCAAAAATTCATTGAAGCAGATTTAGGACTGTGAGCTCTAGCTGTACTGAAAAAGAAGTTCATTAATATCAACAAAATTCCATAACACTGACTAACTAAATATCTAACAAACAAGTTATCCTGCACCAAACAATACCTAACAAAAACTATACCTTAACAGCTATGAACATTCCTATGGGTTTTGAAGTATTGGCTATTTGGCTATCTGAATATCTTATGCTTTTCTTTCATTTTCTATTATTTGTAAATAATAGGGGTCTTTTATATGTAGGAAAACACCGGTTTCAGTCTGAGTCAGTTTGAGAGTGAGTCAGTTTTGCTACGTAATTAATGTACATGTACCTGGATTGCTCTTCTGCAATAGATCATCAATGCAGATATTCTTAACACATATGATGCGGTGGGTGAGTGAGTGAGTGGTTGAAGCTTCTGCAATTTTCCAGACACATCATGGGGGCAACACCCAAAACTGGATTCTATATGCAGGGAACTAAACCAGGTTTTCTGTGTGACCAACAAATGCTCTTAACACAAAGCTACCCCACCCACCCTTACATGACATTCATTAGTCAAAATGCTGTTTGATTGAAAATAAGCTGTTTTAAACACCTACTTACTCAAGATTTCTTTGTATGGAAGTATGGATTAAACTCCTCCATAATAGTATTCCAGTTATATCATGGTGTGTGTCAGCATGGAGGAAAGCCCAAAGTAATGCTGGTCTCACCAACCTACAAGCACGGTGGCGTTGACAAACCAACAAACCCAGTCAGGGGGCGAAGTCTGGGCTGTACAGTTAAATCACCCACCCTACAACCCAGACTTAGCCCCCAGTGACTATTTCCTGTTCCGGCAAATGAAATCTGCCCTACGTGGAAGACGCTTCCAGGATTAAGAGGACATAAAGGCTGCCATGGAGGCGTGGTTAGAGGGTGTCTGCGGATTTCTATAAAAGTGGTATTAAAAGCTTGAAGGACAAATGGAATAAGTGTATTGAGGTGAATGGAGATTATACTGAAAAATAAAAGTGCAAAACATACTCAAGGACTTGGTCTTATATTGAAGTTGCAAAACTTATTGAACGCCCCTCGTAGGTTTCTGGACTTTACCAACGTGACATTTTAAAAGAAACATACACACTTAACCTAAAGAACCATTAGCATGGAAAGATTTTCACATGTTCATATAAATAAAGATATTACTGTCTTATGTAAAAAGACTTCAGTCATATCATATCTAAATATTTAAGAATAACTGTACAGCATTATTTGCAAACAACACATTAAACCACACAGTAAAATAAAGTGTTGCCTTATACTTTGTACATTCACTATATACTGAATACAATAATCATGCTCAATAATCATCATGTATTAATTATCATCATCATCATCATCATCATCATCAATACTTTAACAGCATGTGGGATTACAGAAGATACATGTAAAGAGAAGCTTGCTGAAGATGATGCTTTGGTAACCATGGCAACACATAAAAATGAAATGGAAAATATATACATAACAAGCTAAAACAATGATGCTATAAATGAACTATAGCTGTCAGATCGCAATGAACATGTCATGTTATGTACAACTCAAGTATCAAAATGCCTGACTAGTATTATGCTTTGCAGTAAATCCATATGAAGAATGCAGATTTGTTGACACAAAATATTACTATTAGGTTAGTATGAAAATATATTTTACACATGTAAACAATATGGAAGTTAAGTACATAATAGTTGAATATTACCAGACTGAATGAGGTGACCGATGACTCCGTCATAGCCCTACAGATCCAGAACGGTCTACACTGTCCCACAAGAGAAACAAACTCAGACCTTACATGTCCTGGACAAATGCACCAACCACTGGACTCTCCCACCACTCCGGCAGTAAAATAAGAGTCAACTTTCATGGACATAAAACAATTTAAACTCTTGAAGCAATAATCTGGATTTATTGGCACCGCAAATGAAAATTTAATGATTAGCGACAAACGTCCATTTCACACAGTTGAGATTTTCATACAGATCATAGCACAAATGCATATAATTCCCATAAGATCAAGTTGTCACTGTTGGATTAATAGATAAGCACATTTCTGAGGTAAGATTCTGATTGATTGACTATCATGGTAGCAGAGATGCCAACACCAATTCCAGGCAATAGGATCACCTGGAATAAAGGCCGTAAAAAATATTAATTTACAAACAAAATAAGAAATCATTATTAGCATATCTGACTATGGTTTTGATGAAATAATCTTTGGCATTATGTTCTATAACCCAAACTCCTCAGAATCTGTAAATCTTCCAATCACAAGCCAAAACAAGTAATTATTATTTGGGTGTATATGTGATAATGACTTAGCAAGGTGAATACGGACTTCATATTACAGGTGATTTCAACAAAGTTCATATAATAGTTCTCTTCATGGTATTGGTGGATCAAAATGGTTGTTATCTCTGTGGTGGTAAATTAGTAATATTTTATATCCACAACAGCTACAGTACACTGACAGTTCAGGGATACCAAATTGACGGGTTGTACAAATAATTATCATATTTCAAATTTATTGTGTCAACAGAACAAAATGACCTCATCAAAACTTCTATTGAAGAATAATACCATAGAACAAGAATACTAACAAAGAACCATGATAAATGGACACTCAGTTGTGTTATGGAATAATGGAATCTCAAGATTTTTAGGCCTTCTCACGACATAAAATAACCCCGACATATTAGGGTTTTGTATTGCAAACATACATTAATGTCAAAATCTAATCTATTACTGCGATGCAATATCTCTCTGTGTCCAGATCTGATGCCACCTCCATAGGTCGCGTCAGGTGAACCCTCAGTGACCGTCAAATCTCAATGAGTGAGTGAGTAGGTTTTACACCACTTTTAGCAATATTCCAGCAATATCACGGCGGTGGACACCAGAAATGGGCTTCATTCAGTGTACCCATGTCGGGAATCGAACCCGGGTCATCGGCGTGACAAGCGAACGCTTTAACCACTAGGCTACCCGACCTCCCTCAAATCCACCAATCAGAACTCAGCTTCCCCAAACAATTTGGCTTCCCTTCTTTAGCACCGCTATTTGGAAATTCCGTAATCAGGTAATAAAACAAAAGAAAACCTAAATGAAACAGAAATATTTTTTGTTGTCCTACCTTTAGGACGTAGACATGGCGTTTCGAAATGACAGGGTGTATAAAATATCTACAACAATATAATGGCAAGAAACAATCAGAAAAGGCTGGTTCATTTCCCTCGTGGCATTGAGTTGGGTTAAATGCTGCTTTGAACAGTATTCCAGTTACACCACAGAGTGTCAGCCAAATGTGGGAGTAAAGCCTCAAGTAAGACAGGTCTTAGTGGTGAGATACAGAAGTCACTAGGGCTGGCAAAAAAGATCGATAATCAGAATCATCATCGATGGGAAGAAATATTAACTATTATTGATATGAAAATTGTGTCATCGATAACACCTTACATGAACTATTGTGATGACATAAACCTTTTAATTAGCAAAACAAACTTATTATTGTCAACAATGCCAATCGCTGAAGATGGAAAGTAACTGTTTTTTGTTATGTCATGTCACCAGTGGAGAGAAATAGGTTGATTTCTATAGGATTTTTGTTGTTGCTTATTTAATAACTCAAAGATACTTCTCCCGATATTTATCGATAATTAATCAATATTTAGTTAACGATTATCGATCTCTATGATCTGTATCAATAGCCAGCCCTAGAAGTCACATATGCTGGCCTGAGTGCTTCTCTCATTTGTAATGGAGTGAGTGAGTGAGTTGGTTTTGATGCCGCTTTTAACAGTATTACATTTACATCATGGCGTGTCAGCTTAATGTGGGAGGAAAGCCCGAAGTGATGCATGTCTGAGACATTTACCACTTCAGTGAAACCCATGAGCACGAGTATGGTCCTGACAAACCTAGAAACATAATCGGGGCAAACTGGGATTCAAACCCACAATCATAGGTTTCTGGCGTGCCCAAGGGACGCAACTCTGCACAGTGAATCGTGGCGCCTTGAACGACAGTTCCACCCGTGCATCCCATTCGTAATGGAGGCGTCGTTAGATCGTCACACAGTGAGGCATGGCATCGGAGTACGAGACCTGATTTGTATGACACTGACATTAATGTAAATGCAACAATAATATTAGAACCATACATTCCATCTACCAACTATCAACTAAACAAGCACCATAATTGGACGATAATGAAAGAAAACAAACTGTGATTTACAATAAATAATGAAATACACATGCATGTTAACTTTCCAAAACTGGTATCCAATAAAAGTATCTATCACAACAACAAAAATATACAAAAAGAAATCTTCCATAATTTCTCCGCGAATCAAAATGAATAAATGTGATCTGATGGTAAATATATCTTATGAATACATGGTAAACGTTCTTAAAGAGTTAAAGAGCACACAAGATGACATGGAAGACATATATATAACCGCAGAATCACAAGGAGGAACACAGAACACTGGGGCCATGGATGAACACATTCTTTGAAGGTACAGCCTGTGTAGAAATAATGAACAGTATACTATGCATGGACTATAACTGGACAAAGGCCATGTAGGATAACACTATCTGTTTTAGCAATCATCTCAGAAAGGTGTCTGGACAGTCTGTGAGGGTGCAAACACATTGACAAGGACAAAATGCATAGTGGTATTTTCAACTGCCAGGTGAAGACACAGTATTACTATCCAAGAGAATTGTTTATAATGAAAATATATTATTTCTATCTCAGCAGTCACTAAACACGATACATCAATCTCATAAAAATCAGATCCTTGGGGCAGCAAGCACTTAAGATGTGATTTTAAAGAAATAATATGATACACAAACGTCTTAGAGACAAAAACTGTTGGTTAAAAAACAAAGTAAAAGACTTTCCCCTTCCCTCAATGCAGATGAGGGCAGATAACCAGAAAAACAACATTTTTTTCTGAACTTTTACAAAAAGGTGCCACAGGATGACGAGATGATATTGGATCATTTTGTATTTACTGTAGTAAGTACATTGGGTGCAGAAAAATCTTTCAAGTGTGGGTGCCTATCATGGACTACTGTTACCACAGTGTTAACAAGGTGAGGTTTCTGAACAAATCTTTACAATAGCAAAAGTGTTTAAGTACAGACGAGAAGGAAATGTTTTCAAACATGTAAGATGCATTTACGGGATCCCTCCATCATACATTAGCATTCCGTCTTCATACAGTCCAGTACAGACACATTGAAGTGAGAGGGACCATCTATTTCACAACTTGAGTGAGTAACACTGCTTTTAACATTATTTCAGTTATATCACGGCGTCTCATCTTGATGTGAGTGGAAAGTCCAAAGTGATATAGGTCTCAGACATTTACGAAGTGCTGGGTATGTTGCTGACAAACCTAGAAACAAATTCAGGTGGAACCAAGATTCAAAGCCGTGACCACTGGTTTCTGGCACGCCTAAGAGACGCAAGTAAGCAGAGCAAATTTGGCACCAAAAACGACTTGAGCCCCCTTTACAACCTAGAACATCATCTCGATAGAAGCGATTTTATGGAGAACAAGTTTTAGTTTAAGTTTAAGATCAAGTTAATCCAGAAACAAGAGAATGATTCAATTTTGGCTTGTTTCTATATTTCCAGGGTTTTCAACTATTGTGAGGAATTCTGTAGTAACTATTTCATTGCAAATCAAAAGGACTTTGAACCTTTGTCATTTACAATTTATACATATGCAGATTCAGCTCTGATAGTTACCATTCATATGAAGATCAATTTGAGTGAGTGAGTCAAACCTGGTTTTTCGGCAAGACAAGTGAATGCTTTAACCACTTAGCTACCCAACCACCCCTGTATAGCACAGAATTAACCCTAAAACATTCTCCTCATGGATGATCATGATGATAATGCTTATTGACTTACCCCCTTAACCCCTCCCCACTACAAAGTAGAGTACTTTCAACCAAACATCTACAAGACACAAAACCCAATGACCCACACCTAGAAAAGAACCATTAACTGATGGCCATGTGCTCTAACATGATCAATGAAAAGTTTACACACAAAGACAGTGCTAAAAGCAAAATAACAACACTCTACATGTAAAGTAAACACTAGCACTGACATCCCAGGGTCATTAACAATTAAATATTATGAATATTATACAAGGGCATGAGAGATGAGAAAAAGAGATCTTGATATTTGCATAAGTACACAAATTATTAAACTGTATAAAGAATTTACATGATAACACTTCAACTTTAACAATCATGTCAAACAAGCAGGCACTTGCCACCAAGTTGTAACACCTCTGGTGCCAAGGACTCATAGTGTGGCATTATGATACACACAGGGTATATTGATACTAGGTACATAAAACACTCAGTGATTAACATGATTAAAACAAGTCCTGTGCCAGGAAAATATTACCGTATCAGGCTGATTTGGGATCTTATACTTAATCTGGGAACTTAATCATGTTAATGTTATGAAAGCATTATTGCAAGAAAAATGTGCATTGTGCACTAGTAATTCTTCAAATGATTGACTAGATACTGAAAAAAACTGAGTCTTATTTATAGTCCTGTGCATAACGATAAAGTAGCATGAACGAAATACTAGTATTGGGCACTTGTAAACTTGTTTTTGGTACTAAAAAATATGTTCTGGTATCACATGACTTACAACTACTAATAGTAGCCCCTTTTTCACAAATCAAACATGGAGTTTTGTAACAAAGACATAAATCAGTAATTTCTTGAGCCATCAAGATAAATCTTGATTTTGTACATTTAACTCCAATAAGGAACCTACTGACATGTTCCAGTTTTTAACTTTCATACAGGTCATACTTCATGAGTATAAAGAAAATACAAATCATGGACACACTTAGGTGTCAGGCAAGAAACATCTATATACGGTAAGAACCATCATCAGTGCTTGCTTTAAAAGGCTTCGTGGTTAACCCGTCAACTCGTGGGACAATGGAGGAAGAAGTTTCTTTGGTGAAGATGAACTGAGTTTGAGGGTGTATTCCACAAAGCCTTTTACTGCAGCAATGAGAAGGTTGTACTGGACCTCATTAATTTAAGCTTCACTGCAGGGAGATACAGAGGCTGTTTCTATCAAGGCTCTACAGAATGTCCTTGGGTAGAAGGATCAGGAAATACCTCAGCTAATGGACACAGTGGACAGGTCACATGACAGGTTTCAGACTGACCTTGGTGACATTAGTAGTTATATCAACATTACGGACAGGTAATGATCCATGACCATGTTGTCAAGGTGACTGGTTACATGCACAAAAGATTGGTGAGTCCCCACCCCAAAACAAATATTTAAAAAATAATATACATTGGAAATCATATGTGTAATGGCACATAACAGAATGTGTATATTTTTTTATATTTCTCCTATCCAACAATCAGTTAAAAAACTAGTCTCAAAAATTGTATTTTCATTTTGTATTTCAGCCACAGACCTGATGGTTTGTGCAAAATAATCCATAAACAAAAGATCAAAAAAATGTTTGGCCTTGTTTACCACAAAACTGTCTGTCATCAGTCAATGAGACCGCCATATTAGTTGTATCATAATACTTCATTCCATTTTGACAAATATACTTTTGATAAGACTTACTTACTTCACGCTTAAATAAAAAACAGTAAAATGTGTCCATTAGCTGAGGTGAGTCATTTTCCAAGAGATGTATTCTAAACAATTACAGAATATATTTCAGTTTCAACAAAATCAGCCATGGTCCTGAGTTTTGACAATTTTAAGTGGTGGGTTATCTCCCTTCAGCAGTGTGTCCCCAGCAGATCTCTTGCCACCTGGAGCATGTCGAACAAGTCCTTGGCTCACCTCCAGGGTGCGCTGTATAATGTCTGAATGTGACCTCATGTGAACATTAAGTTGTGCCTTGTTGATGGTTTCAAAACCACACTGACAGCATTTAAACACCACCCAGCAGACGGGCTGGCGGCCATCAGGTCCCATGGAGTTGTTTAATCTCCCCTCGAGTATTTTCTTTTCCGAGATGAGAATCTTTTCCAACATGTCCGGATCACTGGTGTTGCTGCTGTCAATGCGACAGTCGTAGTCAATGGCGGCGTTGATGACGTCGTTGGTGAACTCATAGCTGTAGTTTCTGTCACTGGCATGCCTCCACATGTGAGACTTGAGTGAGGGCAGATGATGGCAGACGTAGCCACAGAGATTACACTTGTATTGTTCCAGAGGCTGCTGAACATACCGCTGGTCATTGATGTGACGCTTCATGTGAGATTTCAAACTCCTACTGGACACGGCAGTAAAGTCACACATCTCACATTTCAAAGTTTTAGTTTCTTCATGAATGCGAGCATGATCTGTAAATACAGCTACACTCGTTGTAGTGAATTCGCATTGGGAACATTTGAGATTTTCCTTCTTGGGGAAGAAATCCTTTGGAACTTCATAGTCAGAATCAGTGGCATCTGAATCTTCAATGCTTTCGGGCTGGTCCTTGTAACATAGTTCCTGCTTGTGAGAGCGTAATTCCAACTTGGTAACGAACAGTTTGTTACAAAGGTCACATTTGTGGTAATACTGATCAGCATGGAAGCGGAGGTGGTTCCTGTAAGCCATGGGATCATTGGTTTCAAAGTCACACATGTGGCAGATCAGTGGGTCCTTGTCACTGTGGGCTCTCATGTGGGCTCTTAGCTGACTCTTGTAGTTGAAGGTGGAGGGGCACAGCTTGCATGGATAGGTACGCATCTTACAGTGACGAATCATATGATCCTGCAGAGACTCACTGGAACCTGCAATAAAGTCACACAAGGAACATTCAAAGGGTTTCTTGGACTTGTGAAGACGCATGTGTAATCGGATCAGAAGAGTTCTTGAGTTGCTGTAATGACAAAGCTTACATCTGAATTTAGTTTCTCCATCTTCCTCAATTTTCTCCATGTTCTCAATAGGGTCAACATTGAGTTCATCTTCATTTGATTCCCGCCGACTCCTGCGTCTTGATTGGCGTCTGCCTGGCAAGTTCTTGGCAGTTTCATCTGTTTCACTCTCAGACTTGGATCGTTCTCTCAGCTGTTCAATGACTGCAAGGAGAGAGGAACAAATGCCTGTTTTAGGTTTTGCTGACTCGCTTGACAAATCTTCTGAAACAATTTCATCCTCAGACTCTGTGTCACTGTCTGCCTCAGATGAATCAATACATGGCTTCACAATGTTCTCTTCTTCACCAGCTTGAAGGGCACACACAGCGTTACGATTAGGACCCTTCTTCAGCAAGGACAAAAGTGTAACAGCTTCTTCACTGTGCTTTTTAGCCCTTGTTAAAGGGCCCTTTGTAGCACTCTCTTCTTTCAAGGTCATTTTCTCTAACTGAGATAACTTCTTGGCTTGAATGGCTTCCAACCTCTCTTTGGCTTTATCCTTTTCAACCTTAGCAGCATGTCGTGTGCGAGCTCTTGTTGTCATAGAGGGAGAATTGTTCTGATCTACTGGAAGGGTTTCAGGTGACCCTCCAGGTTCTGTCCAGTCATCATGCTGGGACTGTTCTGGGACACGAGGGCTGTTCTGTTGACTCTTCATGCCAGTAAATCCAGAGGCAGAAGGGACTGAGTCTACTGATTCAACTACCACACTAACTTCCTCAGTCTTTGACTCTTCAACCTCTTTATCAAAGCAGATCCTCTTGGCAACTTGTAGTATATTAGTATCATCTCTCTTAATAGGTTTCTCTGGACCTAGCTTCCCATCACCAGAAGGAGGTTCAGAAGGAGTCTCTTCACCCAACTTGGATGGCAAACCTTCTCCAGTGGATGGGGATTTATTCTTGGCTAAGATCGGTGGCTTGGACAATTTGGATGATGCTTTGCAAGGACTTGTGTTATTTAATCCAGTACTTGATGATGTCACTTCTGAGATAACCAGTTTTCTTTCTGGACTGTTTGATGTTTCAGCTGGTTTCAACTCTGAAGTAATGACCGTTTCTTCCTTCCCAACATGCGCAATTGGAGCAGATTCTTTCAGCTGTGCTACCTTGCTTGATGAAGGGATGTTTATTCCAGAAGTTTTCTGAGACGTTTCCCTGACTAAGGCCAGTGTTTTACCATCAATGGTTTGCATCTGGCAGATTGCTGTTCCTCCTGCAACAGTCTTGGGAGCAATGTCAGTTTTAACAAGCTTGATATTAGTGATAGTGTTGTCACTGACAGATCTAAAAACATGGGTAACTGGTGCAGCAATCTGAGTAGGGTTCTGTTGAGATTCTGTATCAGTCTTCTGCACAGTGAAGTCACCGAGAGGTGTTGAGACCTTCCCATCTTCCGGAGTCTCTGCATCATCAGCACTTCCAGAAGATGACTGGGGAGGTACTTTTGGTGTTGGTATGTCATCGTACATACTGAGAGGGCCATTCTGAAACATGGGGTAGTCAATGGCCTGGTTTCCTGAGTGTTTCCAGATATGGGCTTTGATTGTTCGTTGATACTCACAAGTGTAGCCACAGATGATACACTTGAATCTGCCTGTCGATTGGTCATGTGTGAAAGGAGTATTTTCAGAGTTCTTGCATGTATTTTCTTTTGTTACCGGAGCAACCAGAAATGTCTGTTCCACCTTCAGGCCTGCATGTGGCTGAGGCTGCTGCTGAGGTTGCTGCTGAGGTGGCTGTTGTTGTTGTTGTTGCTGCTGCTGTTGTTGCTGTGGCCTTTCTTGTTCCACCTTCACAGATGGCTTTACTCTGTGAGTCAGCATGTGCTTGATAAATACTGTTGCTTCCTTGTGGACAAAGCTGCATTCAGTACACTTGTAAGCTGCATTGTCTGGAAGGGTGGCCTCAATGACTCGTATCTCCTTAGGTGCAGATGGGACAATCTTTGCTGTTTTTTCCACTAGTTTGGCAACATCAGGCTTCTTTTCCACCTCTGCCTCAGTCTTGATGTGTGACCACATGTGTTTCTTCATAGTGTCTGCATCTTGGGCAGTAAATCCACACTCTGTGCACTTGATCATTACATGCTTGCCCTGCTCAGCTTTAGGAGCTGTCCCCAGAGGTAGTGGAGGTCTTGCTTGGGCTCGTAGAGGTGGAGTTGTTGAGGGCAGAGGAGAAGTAGACTTTTCGGGGTGAAACGGTTTAATCATATGAGTGTCAGCATGAGAGGCGAGCTTGTTAATATCTGCAGTTACAAAGGAGCATTCACTGCACTTGAACACCTTGTCATGAGACTGGATGTGTTTCACAATCAGACTTTGATCACCTGCAACGAAGTCACAAAGTTCACAAGCATATATTCTGTCAGTATTGTGGGTATCCTTCAGGTGTTTTTCAAAGGCATCTTGATCAGCCAGATACACTGAACACAAACTACACTTAATTAATTTCTGGGTAGTGTGCAGTTTGATATGATTTGTGAGATGTCCTTTCTTTCTGAATGAAGCATTGCAATGTTCACATTCATAAGGTCTCTCATTGGTGTGGACGACTAAATGCTCACGCAAAGAGTGACTGCGCTTCCCAGCATAATCGCAAAATGGACACTTGTATGGACGTTCAGGATTATGAACCAGGTCAATGTGCTGCTTCAGATAGTGCTTGTTGTGGCTGGAGTAATCACACTCATCACACTTATGGACAGAATCAGATAAATGATGAGTCTGTCCTGGACTTGATGAAGGTGGAACTGTACCAACATGTTCAATGATAACGCAAGGTATAGAATCCTTATCAAGGTTATCTGTATTTAAGGGAGATGATGCAACAATAGTTATAACAGGAGCAGATCTAGATGGTGCTGTGTTGTCCTTGACAACAAGGGTTTCAGATCCATGGGTGGCAACGGTTTCCATCCTGGTCACAGGTACAAGAGACACTGGACAAGCTTCAGACACGATGGATTCCTAAAGATTAGTGACAACATGAGATCATGTTGAAAAGATTCTAGATTCAGATCTAAGTCTATCAGTTCACTCGGAGAGAGGTTACATCATGGAGCTTGCAGCATCAATGAACAACAGTGGACAATCATATTCCAAGACATCTTGTCACACTTGGAAACTCTGAAGCAAAGAAGATAACCAGCATTAGTGCAATCATCATTTCAAGGAAACATATAATCATTGCAAACCATTTATAGGCAAACAATATGCCACAAGCCCTACCATTTCTGGTCACGACATATGAACCTGTTTCAGCCTTCAAAAATTCATGCTGGCCTGAAAGTAGAATTGTGTGCAGAGAACAAGCAAAATCTAATGATGGTAGTCCTCAATGATCAGTAGCATTGGAGAGAGTGGGTGAGTATGGTTTTACACCGCTTTTAGCAATATTCCAGCAATATCACAGCAGGGGACACCAGAAATGGTCTTCACCCATTGTACCCATGTCAGGAATCGAACACGGGTGTTCGGCATGACGAGCGAATACTTTAAACACTAGGCTACCATAGCATTGGACGGCTATAATTCTGAAACAGTTCTCAATGTGTCAATTTTGCTAAAATTGGAACTGAATCAATCTGAGAGACAATGTAAACAAAGCAAACATTTTTATTTTGTTCAAGTAGGACGAGCTTCAAACTCTGAGAACTAGGAAAATAAGGATTCCACTTGTCTTCTGGGCTAGTCTGTATAAAGAAACCAAAAATGTATAAAGATTCTGTTAAGTAAACATCTTGTTGTGTCCTAAAATGATTGGAGAGCCTTATTATTTCAGAAATTACTTCCTGCCATTTTGTTTAGATGCACTCATTTCTCATGTGACAGAAATAAAAGGATAAATACTCATATGTCATTGAATTTCTTTTGGGGGGATAGGGAACCATAGCATAAATCATACCTGACTTTGACCAATACACAACAGCAGTGAAAATACAGTGAAACCTCTTATCTCCTTTTATCCAGAAATCTCACTTTACATATGACCCAGTAGGGAATGGTTGGTTACATGCGGTTACATATACAAAGTGACATCAGTACCAATGATTCATTAATCAGGACAAAATCTCTGGATATGCTACCATCTGTATAAAAGGGGTTTCATTTTACATTGTATTACTACATTCTTTTCATTACCTCTTGCAAATAAAAGGGAAAATCAGTTTTAACCTGCTTGTTTGAAAAAAACAAAATGATGTAATTTTATTATTTTGACTGCCCAGAAAGCAAACAAATAGTACTTGACATAAAGAGAAAATAATTTGGGGGGATGTCAGTAGATACACCATATTGACACAAATTGAGGTATTTAGGCCAAACTGTCAAAAAGCAATTTGGATGCTTACACGTTTCAAGTTTATTTGTAATTTTTTAATAGTGGTTTTGGAATATTACAACCAACTCCTTCAGAAAAGGTTTCTAAGAAAATTCAGATCTGTGAAAGACTTAAATGTAAATTTGTCGGTGTTTGGAAACACATAAATTTTATTAAAACCATAAATTTTAATTGATTGTCACTACAAGGCAAACTAAAGAAGATCAACCACTAATCCATCAAATATTTTTTTCTACTTTTGTGAAAAAATTCAACAGTTGTGAATTGTAAAGAACATTTCTGTCATCATTAAAGTCGAAAACAAGATCCATCTTTAGAAATCCTGATTGATTCAATGATTTTCAATGTTCTACTGACAAAATATTGATTAAACACGTAATTTAAATCAGCCTGTCAGGGTACCACAGAAACAACCCATTTCGCATGACAGAACCCACATTCTGACAACGCTTATGCTTGAATTTCTATAGGTATCATGCATGCAATTGGAATAATATATAGCGTCTTAGGCTTACTAAGTAAATACAGAATCCCTAATCATGTTTTTTTTAAACCGAAAACAACAACATGTCACACCCTGAATCACAGCATTATTCTGAGAATTATATGTTTTCTGAGAATTATACATTATCAGCTAAATAATAATCTTAATAGTGATTCTAATCGACATATTTGATGTTTTATTAAATATTAAAGAAGAATTGTTACTTTGAGAACAGTGTTACTGTTACAGGAGTCAAATGAACACTTCTGTCTTCGACTGTGACTGAGTACTTGGAGCCAGTCTTCAAACTGTCATATACTAGCAAAACCTGAATATATAATTATGACACAGCCCTGGGCTATAGGCCTAATAACCTAGCAACAAAGACATAGGCCTCTACACAGGTACATAGAATCACATAAGGCACTGTATTGAACGAAATCAGAACTGAACTAGACGTCATCTAATTAGGTTGAAACTGACTACCCTTCACAAATTATACAGTGTCAGAGACTGGCAGATAATAACATTATTCCATCTTTCAGTTGAATCGGTCAGTGTTTGCTCAAATCCGACTCGGAACAAACGATACGAGTTGTGATTGCGTTTGGCACGGAGTTGCAGAGACAAGATTATTGGACATAGTATGCACACCCACATGTTAATAGTTGCAATTTATTGATTGCACAACTTGCAAGTCCATATGTGGCAGAAGAGCACATGGCATATTTGTCAAGAACCGCGCGTTTTCGAGAGCCTGAACTTGACAGTTCTTGGGCTCCCGTCAAAACATGTATACTCAAGACGAAACAACTTTCAATTGATCAAAAACTGAGCAAATCTAAATTTGATATGTGCTGGATGTTTCATAGGCTCAATATCAACAAAAAATACTTACTATCTTTGACATTTTCTGAAATTTCCAGATTTGCTCCATTCGGTCAAGATGGCGATAAAGAATGTCACGTGATCAACTTTGTACGCCAGAGAAAGTCACGTGGTAAGAAATATGATCGATTTAAAAGAAACATAAAAACTGTAACTCAATGTTATTTATATATCTATCTATCTATTATTTAGCAACAAACACCATATCAAAAATATCATTCTTTGTCAAATGAAGATAATTGATTTGTTGGCAGTGTTTCAGATAATAGTTTCCCAACAGCATATATTGTATAGACTATTGTACTTCGGTCACCAAAAAACGGGAATAAAGATAACGAAAACGTCGAAACTAAATGGGGACTTCAGTAACAGTTAAAATTGTGTTTCACAGTCCAGGCAAGGCATATTACGTTCAGTCAGAAACGCGTAGAAAAATATAAACTCACGCGTGACAATCTAATCAGACCATGCTACCAGAAGTTTCACCAAACATACTTTAAGATTCAATTTGTTAAATTGTCTTTTCATCTAAAGTTACTGCCGGACAAAAGAAAGTATATATTTGAAAATTAACACTTCATGTCCGTTAAACGTAATGTGAAGATCACCTGTTGTGAGATTCGCAATGATATAGTGTATGTGCGATGAGGTGAAATTGGGTCCCGTCGCGTCCAAGATTATTGCACTTATATATAGAGACGAGCATGCACGTGCGCGTGTGTGTGTGTGTGTGTGTGTGTGTGTGTGTGTGTGCGTGCGTGCGTGCGTGCGTGCGTGTGTGCGTGTGTGTGTGTGTGTGTGTGTGTGTGGCTGCTTGTACTTGTTGTACCGGACTTATGCCGATTTATAGTGCTAGCTCGCTGAGATACCATGCCACAGTTTATAATTACCATGAATACACCACTCACACAGCATACTCCGAGCCGGCCAGTCCTTGTTTTAGCCCCTTAATGCCGAGCGCCAGACAGGGTAACAATATGTACCATCTTTTCACGTCTTTTGGTATGATTTTTGTTTGTTTGTTTGTTGTTTAATGCCGCACTCAGCAATATTCCAGCTGTATGACGGCGGTCTGTAAATAATGGAGTCTGGACCAGACAACCCAGTGATTGATATCATGCGCGTCGATCTACGCAATTGGGATACGATGACATGCATCAACCAAGTCAGCGAGCCTGACCACCAGATCCCGTTAGTCGCCTCTTACGACAAGCATTGGTTGCTGAAGACCTATTCTACCCCGGATCTCCACGGGTCCATTAAAATCAGATCGTAGTTCACGCTACTACAAAACAAATTTTAAATTTACGATCGGCTTATAATGAGATTGCATGTCATCGTATCCCAACTGCGTAGATGAATTATCATGATGTCAATCACTGGACTGTCTGGACCAGAATTGGTTATTTACAGACCGCCTTCACATAGCTTGAATATTGCTGAGTGCGGCGTTAAGCATCCATGCACGAAACTTGCATTGAAAACGTCATGAACGTAAATAAGTTCAATAAATCTAATTGGTCACTTAACATGGTTGTTCCCAAAATCTAAGATATCCTGTATGATAGTATAACATTCAGCATCAGACAATGACGAGCATGCATGTGTAGAAGACAATGCATTAGTATTTGCTCAGCGCGTTGGACGGCAAGGTAGCCCAGTGGTTAAAGCGTTCGCTTGACACGCCGAAGGCCCAGGTTCGATTAACCACATGAGTTCATATGCGTTTTACCTGTGATGTTATACTGGACTAGTGCCTGTTTCCAAACCTGAATTGACCAGAAGTTACATTCCCCACATGTGAACAGTGTGTGAGACCCCTGAAGATCCGGGGTAGAATAGATCTTCAACAACCCATGCTTGCCGTAAAAGACGACTAGGCTTGTCGTAAGAGGCGACTAACGGGATCGGGTGGTCAGGCTCGGTGACTTAGTTGATGCATGTCATCGTATCCCAATTGCGTGGATCGATGTCCATGATGCCAATCACTTGATTGTCTGGTCCAGACTCGATTATTTACAGATCGCCGTCATATAGCTGGGATATTGCTGTGTGCGTCGTTAAACAACAAACAAATACAGTGTGTGAAGTCTATTTATGTTATTCCCCTCCGTGATATTGCTTAAATATTGCTAGAAAACGCGTAAAACCAAACTCACTCACCTACTCTTCGACACTGTTAAATTACATGGCTTTTTTAAAAACTTTTTAATGTCAGTACCTTCACAAAATGGCTACAGTGATGTGGTCATTTTTTAAAATAACAGCAAATATATAAGCGTATGTGTAGGTTTCTGTGTTCGTCAAAATGGAGTGCGGTATGTCAAGTTTAGGCAAGTGACAAATGACAATATTTACATTGTGTATATTTGTCATATAGAGTATTGGTGAACACATATTTTGAGACAATCTGCAAAATGGCGACCCGATAAATCAACAGGTAGGATTATTCTGATATACTGAATCCTGTGTAGTGGGAAGGCGACTAGTCATGTCACCCCAGTGACGTTAATTAATCGATTGCATGTCACATACATGACACATAACCGAAAATGATAAACACATTTTAAAGTCATAAACATCCAACTGATGTAAATTATTTGTAAGCAACAGAGGCCTTGGTCCTTGTTGTGTTGTAGCAAGTCGTCACGAGAATAGTTTGTTGTTGCTGAGGACGGAAGAGCACTTGCCACGTTTCGTTAGCATTGGTACGATTCGCCGGGTGAACATATCAAAATGCCGGAGAAATTAACGTCTGTTATTGCAAAGTTTTATGACGAATATATCCAGTCAACACCCAAAAGACTTAAAATCGTAGATGCATACCTTGTTTACGTGTTCTTGACGGGAGTATTCCAGTTCGGATACTGCTGTTTGGTGGGGACCTTCCCATTCAACTCATTTCTCTCTGGATTTATTTCAACAGTCGGTTCATTTGTGTTGGGAGGTAAGCATTCACTTCACAGTTTTGCAGTAAGCTGCCATGGATATTATCCTAATATGAGTAGACATGATGCTGTATGCTTATCATTGTCATAGCTTTTAAATGTAAGTTATCAGCTGGCTGGGGCTAGGCCTATAAGTTACTGTTAGCCACATTTTGGAGAGATATCCTATGTGGCATCATGGCAAGCAGTGTGTAGACATATGTACGATAAGTTTCCCTTATCGTTGACTTTGTGCAAATTCCCTGGATAAGTCTTGGTAATTTTATTACTGAAATTATATCAACACGTTATTGCCCGTGTGTGTAGTGGCAAATAGAAGAACCAATCAGAGCTCTCCACTTAGGAGGGTAGTTGATAAGACAGTGTCAGTTGATGTCTTGTTCGGTCGACATGATTTTAATCATGTTAATATTCAGTCTGAAATCATTTGTAGCATTTAAAAGACCAATCACTTTTGCTTTGACTGTTAAAAGTATAGATCTAATAAAAATTACTTTAGTTTAACGTAGTGGGGTGAGTTGGGTTGAACTGTTTAACGTCACTTTTAACAGTATTACAGTTATATTGTGGGAGGGACTCCCGAAGTGATACAGGTCTCAGATGTGTACCACTTTAGTATAACCCACAAGCATGGATATTGTTTTTCACAGACATTTCTTTACCCAATCCCCCTGGACCGCCTCCCTGGTCTGGTGATAGAGCATCCACCCAGAGAGCTGAAGGTCCGGGGTTCGATCCCAGGCCGTGTCACACGAAAAGACATTAAAAGACGGTACTTGTTGTTACCCTGTTTGGCGCTCGGAATTAAGTGGCTAAAACAAGGACTGGTGGGCTCGGAGTCAGTATACTGTGTCTGAGTGGGGTATTCATGTTAAACTGCCGCATGGTATCTCAGTGAGCTAGCTCTATGCCACACACACACACACATGCATGCACGTCGCTATATAAGTGCAATAATCTTTGATGCACCGTTAAGCCCCATTTCACCTCACCTACTCCCCCCCACTCCTTTTGTCACGGTATATATTTACTGTATTGTTAACCAAAATTGGTCCTTCACTAGCTTGCTGGAAATATTTTGATTGGCCGATTTCTGCTGATTGCATTATTGTATTTCAAGCAGCTTCTACCTTATTTGCCGTATTAAGTGCCTTGGGCGTTAGAAATATGATAAGGGGGTGAAAGGGCTGCTGATTAAAACCATACACAAGTTATATTTGAATTTAGAAATTGAACGGTAGTGAACTGACTTTGTTCAAACATTGATGAAACTAAAAGATGTTTGCTTACAGTTACAATGCAATTATACCCTGCTTCTGTGCTGCTGTTTATTGTCACAAATCTGTGCAGTATACGCCAGAAAATAGGGACTGGGGGCACTTAATACGTTGATTACAGTATATTCTAAACCAAAGGCTTATCGTTGATTGAGAGGAATGGACTAGGTCTCCTGTGCCCTCTGTATCATCGGATCATAGGTTTTCAGACATTATATTTTTTCGGACAGCCATGTTTATCGCGATTACTCAGTCACACAGACTTTGTAAAAACTCAGATGATGGCTTGTTTGTAAGAGTAAGAAGTCTTTTATAAGTGAATGAGATTTTTTACAGTTCATGTGATTAGAGAGAAAATGACGAACACTGGGATATATGAAAAGACAGTTCAACAAAACATTTTCATTTGAGAAACTATAAAATGTCCGTCTGGTTCCACATGCATGAAATGTTACCAACAGCAACCGTGTAAGTTTGGAACCTGGTGTTGACCACAATTCTTTGAGAGATTATTTTTGTTTAATTCCAGTTTGTCTTAGACTTCAAGTGAATCCCCAGAATAAAAACGACTTCATCGGAATCAGCCCGGAAAGAGCCTTTGCTGACTTTGTGTTTGCTCACGTCATTCTACACTTAGTTGTTATAAACTTTCTGGGGTAAGTGTTATGTTTGCTTCAGTCTACAGACATATTGGTTGTACTGAAGGAAGAAGATAATTATCTTTAATGTTACCATGGTTACAGTCTACAAATTTAGCCACAGGTCTGAAGCCAGTGTCCAGTTAACATGGTTAACTTATTGTCTGTCTAGTATTACTGAAAGCTAGTTATTTCCAGATAAAAGACTAAAACACGGTTTGT